AAAAAATCAGAAAAAATCAGAAAAAAATCAGAAAACATCCGCAAAAAATCAGGAAAAAAATCGGAAAAAATCAGAAAAAAACCCCTAAAAAATCAGAAGTAAATCCCCCCAAAAAATCCCCAAAAATCAGAAAAAAAAATCAGAAAAAAATCCCTAAAAAATCTGAAAAAATCCGAAAAAAATCCCCAATCAGCAAATAATCAGAAAAAAAATCAGAAAAAAATCCCCAAAAAATCCGAAAAAAACCAGAAAAAAATCCGGAAAAATCAGACAAAATCAGAAAAAAAATCCCGCCCCCCCAAAAAAAAGAAAATCAGAAAAAAATCCCCAAAAAATCAGAAAAAAAACGGAAAAAATCAGAAAAAAATCCCTCAAAAATCAGAAAAAAATCGGAAAAAATCAGAAAAAATCCCTAAAAAATCAGAAAAAAATCCTTAAAAAATCCCTAAAAAATCAGAAAAAAATCCCTAAAAAATCAGCAAAAAATCCGAAAAAAATCAGAAAAAATCCCCAAAAAACCCGAAACAAATCTGAAAAAAATCCCCCAAAAAATCCCTGAAAATCCCCCAAAAAAACCCGCCCCAAACCCGTCAAAACCCCTCCCAGAACTCCTCGGAACTCATTAAACACTCATTAACACAGTCAAAGCTCGTTAACCCATTAAACGCTCATTAACCCATTAAACACTCATTAACCCATTAAACGCTCATTAACCCATTAAACGCTCATTAACCCATTAAAAGCTCATTAACCCATTAAACACTCATTACCCCATTAAACGCTCATTAACCCATTAAACGCTCATTAACCCATTAAAAGCTCATTAACCCATTCAAAGCTCATTAACCCTTTCAAAGCTCGTTAACCCATTAAACCCTCATTAACCCATTCAAAGCTCATTACCCCATTCAAAGCTCATTAACCCATTAAACACTCATTAACCTATTCAAAGCTCATTAACCCTTTCAAAGCTCATTAACCCCCCCCTGTGTGTGCAGCTGGCGGCGCCGCTGCCCTGCAGTTCCCTCGGGCGCCTGCAGGCGGCGCTGCGGGACCCGCTGACCGAGCAGCTCTACCCGGAGCCGCCCGCCCGGCTGGAGGCGCCCGCGGGGCCCGGGGACAGCGCGGGGGACACGGGGGACATCGACGTGCTGGGCAGGGGACACCAGGCGCTCAGGGACGCCGACAGGGACATGGGTGAGGGACACGGGACACCCTGGGGACACGGGGGACATCGACGTGCTGGGCAGGGGACACCAGGCGCTGAGGGACGCCGACAGGGACATGGGTGAGGGACACCCTGGGGACACCCTGGGGACACTGGGGACATCGACGTGCTGGGCAGGGGACACGAGGCACTGAGGGACGCCGACAGGGACATGGGTGAGGGACACCCTGGGGACATTGGGGACACCCTGGGGACACCCTGGGGACATTGGGGACACCCTGGGGACACTGGGGACACCCTGGGGACATTGGGGACACTGGTGGGATTGGGGACACTGGGGACATCGACGTGCTGGGCAGGGGACACGAGGCACTGAGGGACGCCGACAGGGACATGGGTGAGGGACACCCTGGGGACACCCTGGGGACACCCTGGGGACACCCTGGGGACACTGGGGACATTGGGGACATTGGGGACATTGGGGGATTGGGGACATTGGGGACACGGGGGGACAGTGGGGACATTGGGGACATTGGGGACATTGGGGACAATGGGGACATTGAGGGGATTTGGGACACTGGGGACGTTGGGGACATTGGGGACATTGGGGACATTGGGGACATTGAGGGGATTTGGGACACTGGGGACATTGGGGGATTTGGGACATTGGGGACATTGGGGAATTTTTGTACAATTTTTTAAAAAGTTTTTTCACCAAATTTTTTACCCTTTTTGTTTTTTTTTTGGGGAAATTTTTGGGGAATTTTTGTACAATTTTTTAAAAATTTTTTTTCGGGGAATTTCCTGGAA